GAGCTGGAGGATGGGACACAGGGAGCTGGAGGATGGGACAGGGAGCTTCAGGATGGGACACAGAGATCTGCAGGATGGGCCAGGGAGCTGCAGGGTAGGACAGGGAGCTGCAGGATGGGACACAGGGAGTTGCAGGATGGGCCAGGGAGCTGCAGGATGGGCCAGGGATCTGCAGGATGGGCCAGGGATCTGCAGGATGGGACACAGGGAACTGGAGGATGGGACAAGGAGCTGCTGGATGGGACAGGGAGGTGGAGAATGGGACACAGGGAGCTGAAGGATGGGACAGGGAGCTGCAGGATGGGCCAGGGAGCTGCTCTCCGTGTGCTCCCAGCCCTACCAAGCTGCCAGGCTGGGATGCCTGGGAGATGATGCCTGCAGAACTCCAGTGCCGTGCTGGTGGCCCAGGCTGGGTGTTTGGAGCAGCCCAGGTAGCAGAGACTGTTATTTTGAAGCAGGTTGTAGTGCTGGTTTGTCTTGCTGGTGGACAGTAAAATATGCATTGACGTCAGAAGTGGCTGCTCAGCATTCAGGCCGTGAAGTGGGTCAGGTTTGTGTCTGACTGGCTCATACCTTGCCTTTATCAGCACCTCTCTCCCCATTATCTCCGTGGCTCACATTACTGCTCCAACAAAGGCTGCCTGTGGCTCCCTGCAGCCCGGGCACGTTGAGCTGTGCTGGTGATTTCAGGAGAATGGATTAATTATAGCTCCCAAGGCCGGATCCCCTCGGAAGGATGGCGGGGAGGGACAAACAAGAGGCTCCCTGGTCCTACTGGAGGGATGCACGGCACAAGTTGCAGTGGCCCTGGCAGAGAGCTCCCGTTTCTCAGGTTGCAAAAACCCAGGGCCCGTTTCCATTTTTAACGGGAAAACAGATTCCATCGGGGTGATGCGCCTTTCGAAAAATGATACCTTCCAAATTCGAGATGATCCTGGAGGGGGTAATAATGAGATTGAGAAAGCAAATGCCGCTTTCTGTGGAGAGCCAATATTTGCAGATTGCACAAACACAGAGTTTATTCAACTCCACACAATGCTGCAAATGATGGGATTTTTTTAACGTGCAGATTCAGGCAAACGTTAAGAAGATCACCCCATTATATAATCTCAGTCCTCTGGTAATGAGTCCAATTTCAGTCCTTTTAGAATTCTGTGGCTGGCATATGTTTTTGGGTTTGTTTTTTTTATTTTTTTATTTTTTTTATTTGAGGGCTGGCACATTTTCCCCTTAAACACCAGTAATGTTTGTCTGGAATGAAAAAATCTGAACAGTGTTCTGAGGTTAAAAATGGCCACCTCAGATCCACAATGACTGTGGCAGCTCAGCAACTGCAAAGTAGAAACAAGGTGGAAGAGAGAGGATGAGGGATGGAGCGATTGTCTTGTGCTTAATTGAATCCTGGCCATTCTAACACTCCAAAAAGTGGGACAACTAAACTGATGGTGGAGTAATTAAAAATTGAGGAAGCCCCATGGACCAAGCATCCAGCATCCTGTCTAAATCCTGAACTTTTCTTTGAAATGGTTTTCCTGGGTGCTGTCGGTTCTGGAGTCCTCTAGAAATGGTTTCACATCATTTGAAGGCACAAGTGTGAAAAGCATAATAGAAACAAAAAAGGTGACTATAATGTTATGTACCTTAACAAATAATGGTGATCTTCCTGCCCAGGGAATCACTTTGTCCAACAATGGAATATAATTTGAAAGGTAAGAGCCAGCTGCTGAAATACAGAACAGTGTTTTTAAGTCCTGTGTTACATGAGAAAGTCCAGTGTGAGTCAGTAGGGATCTGCCTCTTCCTGGGTTTTGTGCTGTCAATGCCTGTGGTTTGTTCAGCAGAAATTCATGACTGAAGGCCACTGGTGTTTAACTGGTCATGGAAAAGGGAAGAAATGGAAGTTTTAGAGCTGCAGGTCAAAGACAGAGCGAAGGAACCACTTTCCAGGTGTATGGGACAACACTCCTGCCCCAGGCACACAGACTGGTGAGGAATTCTGTCCTCAGGGTGGCTTATCCTTGCCATCCCTGCCCCAGACCCCAGCACGTGGTGTTGCTGCTCACACAGCTCATGCTGGGCTGCTCCTTCTGGGGTCAGTTTATAGCCCTTCCATTCATGAATTTGCCTGATAAAGCTCAGTGGTCTGTGCTGTCACAGGACCATCAGGTGCCAGCCAAGTGCTGCTCTTCCACCCAGTTAAGCACTGTCTGGGCACTGGAAGTTCTGTTAATTCTCCTGCTCAGAGAGGGAGCAAAGGTGACAGCCTGGCAGGGATCGAATCCTTCCGTTCCAAGATGTTCTTGAGGTGCTTTTGGTAACCATAAACTATTATGTGTTATGAAATTAGGCATGTAAAGATAATAGGAACACACACCTGAGGCTTCTCTTGCATTGGTCAGTCATGCTGAAAGACTCTGTTCTTTTGGCTGCTCAGGTTTGTTGATGTGATTTCCAGGTGCTCACATCCACCTGAAATCCAGCATGGACAGGCCAAGAGTTTCACTTTCCTGAGGGTTTGAAATCCTTGTGTTTCCAAGCAGGTCACGCTTTCTTTGGCTGTGCTTACAAATCCATGTCCTCGTGAATCTGATACGAAGATTTATGAGGGTGGCACCTGAGTAAGAGCTGCAGTTCAGAGATAAAGCCTGATATTTATCTGCGAGTTCTTAAGAGGATGTTGAAAATCTTGACAAATCCGAGATAAGTTGAAGGGAGAAATCAGATTTAATGACACCTACACGGAATGGCAAAATGCTTCTGAGGGAAGAAATTGCTTCGTGTCTCCTGAAGTTATTGTCAAGGTTGCCAAGCCAATTATGAGTGAAGAAAAGTCTTCTCAAAGAGAATAAGAAATAAAAAAAAATAATTCACAACAAAAGTCTGGCTGTGATGGGGGGGAGGAAAGGCAGGTGACACCCAGTGATTGGGGGGCTTTGGGGCAGAAGATTTTGTTGTTGTCACAGCTGAAGTTGCAGTAGGAACAACTCAGTTGAGCTCAGTGTCAACAGGCAGGTTCAGTGCCCGTGTTGCTACTCTAAAACAACTCCAGGTTAACTTTAAGCCTGGTTTTTCTTCAGTGCCTCTCTACTGCTTTGATTCCCAGGGTTCTCCCGTGGCTTTACAGCCCATGATGTGTGTGAGAGAGCCAGAATGTTTCCTCTGAGCACCCCAAACTGGGCAAATGGGAGCAGATGAAGTGTGAGCAGAGCCTGCCCCGTGTGTACCCGCGGTGTTATCGGGTTTGCTATCTGCTGAGCAGCATTAACAGCCCTCTGAGGTATTCAGAGCTGGGGCTACTAAATCAACAGCCTGATCCCTGTTTGTCACCACTGTTGACTTTCACAGCACGGCTCCAGTCCCCCCAGCACTCAGCACTGCCCTGGTGAAAGGGGAGAACCCACAGACTGTCTGACTCCCAGCCCTGCTGTCATCCTGCTCTTCACTGCTGGGTTGTTAGAAATGGTGACTAAAATCAGCCCTGAGGGACCCACATATTTTATTGTGCCATAAAAAGGAGCATTTTAAAGAACTGTTCAGCTGTGGGGTGGCAGTTTCAGTGGCAGACAGTCCCAGTAGCCGTGTCCTTCCCAGCAAAAGTCCCTGTGTTTTCCCAAGCTTGTTGCTTTTGGCAGAGTTCCTTCCTTCCTCCCGGCTCCGAAGTTGATGCTTTTGTTGTCAAAATTTTGGTGTGTGTTCAAGGCTTAGAGAGCACCTCAGGAAAGCCCAGGAAGTCTCAGATCCAGTGCTAACTCTCAATATATCTCCTGGCCAGTAAATAAGCTGGTTTGTCTGTGTGACCGTCAGTTTGTTGAATTTTAAAGATGGTTGTTTATAAACTTGGGTTTAGCAAACCCGTGCAAGTTTCCACGTTGTGAAGTTTCTCAGTGTCTTAATAATTCCACAGTGGTCATGAAAACAGCAGTGCAGGACGTGCAGCATCCCAGGATTTCCAGTGGGAGCCCTGAGGAAAGGATTTGGGATATAGAGCCTTTCAGGACTCGAAGTGCACGTGATTATTCTTTGTGGTGCAACTGGAGGCTGGAGTGACTTTTCCCCCCTCCCCTTGATTTCTCCACAGATTTTGGCTTTGGGAATTTCTATAAGAGTGGTGAACCTCTGACAACGTGGTGTGGGAGCCCCCCCTATGCTGCCCCAGAAGTCTTTGAAGGCCAGCAGTACGAGGGACCCCAGCTGGATATCTGGGTATCATTATCCTTTTTTTTTTTTCTTCTTTTTTAACTGGATTTAAGTCAACTTTTAGAAAGCTGGAACAAAGGAATCATCTTTGATTTTTTTTTATTTATTTTTTTTAAGCTGCAGGCGAGCTGTTTCTCTTCAGGTTTATTTCTTGGGTGTCACAAAATGCATCTTAACACTGAGTGGAATTGAGTTTACCTGTCCAGGTGGCTGTTAAATGGGCACTGCAGGTGGGTGTCAGCCCACTGAGGAAAAACTCCTCCAAAAGCTCCCTGAGTGAATGAGGGAACTTTGCTTTTTTTTTCCAGTGCATTTAGTATTTTCTGTGTTAAGTGGGAATTGAGCTTGGAAGTCCTTGAGGAGGTTAAAGGGACTCTCAGGCTTTGAGACACAGGAGAGGTGACTCTTTGCTTTGCTCTTGGAGCTGGAAACAAGAAGGTTTGTGCCACAAATATCTTCACTGCAGCAGCTGCCTGGTTTTGAGTTGGTGTCTCCATGTGTATCATCCTGATTGGAAAGGACAGAGAGGGCAATCCCTGCTCTTGTGCAACGGAAAAGGGACTGAAACCAACTGCAGGAGTCCTGTGCACCCTTCAGAGCCTGCTTTTCCTTCCTAATTTGGTTTTGTTTGGGGCTTTTTTGGTTTTTTGGGGGTTTTTTTTGTGTTTTTTTTTTTTTTTTGTTTTGTTTTTTAAATTTTGTTTATTTTGTTTTTTATTTTACTTTTCTGGCACTTTTATTTTACTTTTCTGGTATCTCAGAGCGAGCCCAGGCAGCAGCACATCAGGTTTGCAGTGGGAACTCTGCCCACAGCATCACACAGGCACTGACATTTTGGCTGCACAAACAGGGCACTTGGTGGAAAGTCACCTTTTGGCTGCTAATCTGATTTCATCTCATTGCACTGACAGATAAAAGCTGTGCTTTTAGGGTACATGTGTTTGTCTGGGTGCTTATATCTCCATATATACCCAGAGAGATATGGATTTTAGAAAGGCTCCAGCCTTTCTGAACCTTTAGCAACGGGTAAACACAGAGCAGACGTCAGCCAGGCACTGTTTGAACATCAGAGGGGAATCTCTGAACTTTGGTAAATATTCCTTCTATATTTAAGTTCTTAAATCATTAACAGAATCTGGCTGCCCACAAGAGAAGTGGATAAAATCATCATCATCCTCCTCACTTCTGTCCTGAGTTGAGGATTCTCTGTCTCTTCACAGCACTTTCTGCTGAAGGTGCTGAGGTTGCAGGAGGGATGGAACAACCCACAGTTCAGTTTTTGGCAGGTTAAGGAAGGGACTTTTAAAATTAAATATATGTATTTTAGAAAAAATCTCTGTCCCACTTGCAAAGTTTTAAAGTGAATTACCTGCTTTTTTCCCCCCTTGAGAAATACAGTCTGTGCCACTGACTGACATGAGGCTCTGCTGTGGTTAAATGTAGTGGTTTTTTTGGCATATCCTGCAGGACCCTTTCCGTGGGCAGTGCCAGTTAACCTGCACACTTGCAGGAATAAACTTGAGAACTGACCTGAATATTCTGAATATTCCCTCTCTCTTCCAGAGCATGGGGGTGGTGCTCTATGTGCTGGTGTGTGGAGCCTTACCCTTTGATGGACCAACCCTCCCCATCCTGAGGCAAAGAGTTCTGGAAGGAAGGTTCAGGATCCCCTATTTTATGTCAGAAGGTAACTGGGTGTCCTCTTACACTCTTGAATAAATCCTAGGATTTATTTCCCGGGACAACCTGTGTTGTGGTGCAGCTGCACACGTGGGGCTCTGCCTCTGGTTGACCACACTGTGCATTTAAAGAGGCTAAAGGGTTTTTCTCCTTCTTAATGTGACTCTCACTCTTGTTTTGAGAGGTTGTTTGAGCCCTCAGGAGCTGTGGTGGGTGGCAGTGAGGCAGCTCCTCTTGGCATCTCTAGTGCTGGGTCTCGGGTACCACTGAGCAATTCTCCTCTAACACTGGTAATTCTTCTTTTCCCAAGAGTGTGAACACCTGATTAGAAGAATGCTGGTCCTGGACCCCTCCAAAAGGTTGACTATTGCTCAGATTAAGGAGCACAAGTGGATGCTTGTGGAAGTTCCTGCCCAGAGGCCAATTCTTTACCCACCAGGAGAGGAGAACGAGCCTTCCCTGGGGGAGTACAACGAGCAGGTCCTGAGGCTGATGCACAGCCTTGGCATAGACCAGCAGAAAACTGTGGAGGTAAAATACACTCAAAGAGCTATTTCCTGAGTGGGGTCGGACAAACCATTAACTTGGCAGCTGGAGAGAGAGGAGGGGAAATTGGAATTGGAAGCAAATTAATTCTGAGCTTTTAAGAGGGTGGTAAATGAAAATCAAAAAGGAGCATGAAAGCAGCTGAATGTCTCTGCCCTATCCCAAGTTGTGCTTGTTACAAAATGTAAATTCCAAGACTCACCGTGGAGATAAAACAATAATTTCCTTTAGGATGTTTGATCGTGGAGGAGCTCAGTCCTTTCTCCAGGCTCAGCTCTGTGATGGGTCAGAGTGGCACCTGAATGGTGGCTGCAAGTCCTGCTGCAGCCCAGAATGTGTCACTGAACTAAACTCTGCTTTGAAACCTTCCTAGTTCAGAACAGCTCTGAAATATCCCCCCCAGCGATTCTTTCTTTCTTTCCCCTGGTCTTGCAGAACACATAAAAACCCCACCACGTATTTGGCTGCCCCAACACTCGTGTGCCTCTCTTTTTTCAGTCCCTGCAGAACAAGAGCTACAACCACTTTGCTGCCATCTATTACCTGCTGGTGGAGAGGCTCAAGTCCCACCGGAGCAGCTTCCCAGTGGAGCAGAGGGTGGACGCGCGGCAGCGCCGGCCCAGCACCATCGCCGAGCAGACCGTGGCCAAGGTGAGGAGGGGGGCCCTGAAGGCATCATTCCCTTCCAAAAACCTGCATTTCACTTGGAATCCACTGTTTTTCTGACTTCTGCAGCGTGTGGTTTCATTCTGCAAAGTGCAAGCGGCGGGTTTGACTCTGATGGGGACCCGCATGGTTTGACCCCAGACCCCGCTTTTTTTTATCCCAGTCATATTTGCTTCTGGTTTTTTTATGAATTTCAAACCTTTTTGCTGGCAAACCACGGGTTAAAGAGTGAGAGAAACACCAGTTCTGGAGCCTGTGCAACACTTGGAGTGTCTTTAATGTGATTACCAAACGAGCTGTTGAGTTTATGGAGGGCTGTGTTAGCATGGGGGCTAAAAGCAGGCAGGCTCCACTTAGTGTTATAAACACAGTCACTCTGAAGGGACCTGTTGAAAATAAAATCACTTTCTCCCCTGCTGTTCTTTAGCTATGCTTTCTGTCTCCCCTGAAATGAAGCGTGGTAAGGAATAGCAAAGAGGAGCCCAAAAGAAAACACATCAGGTTAAGACGCCAATTCATTGTAGTGTCTTAAGTACCTGATAAAAATGTCATTATCTCGAGCCACTTAATGGCTGAAGACTCGGAGATTTGTTCCTAAATGATGTCATTTCTTTTTAAGATTTGCACTGCTTTTTCCTCCAGCAAAGCCCAGTTTCCTCTGTGTGCACAGAGCCAAGGTGGTGACTAATTGATTTAAGTCTTAAGGATGTCATGTGTGTTTTATCAAGAGCAGTTCTGGGGGCTCTTTACATCTGGTGCCACTGCCTGGCTGCCCACTTAGTCCCCTCCTAATGACACTGCCTGATTCAGCACAGGCTCTGAGGCTGCTCAAATCTGCTTCTTCCAGAAGGAAAGGTCCAGTTTATCCCAATAATTCTGAGATTTATTTTTTTTAATTTTTTTTTAACACGTTCTTTTGTTTCATTGAGATACACAGGCATCGTACAGCTCTTCTGTTAATGCATAACTGGAACCATGAGAGACTTGGCTTAAGATGACTCAGGCTTAGCGTGGTCTCAAGTAAATACTCTCTCCAGTTCCCAGCCCCCTGGGTCCTGTGCTGCTGCTGCAGGGAGCAATTGCCCAGATTCCACTTCCACTTCCAAGAGAAATCACAGCCACGCTGCTCCTTTTTTTTTTTTTGCTTCAGGCAGCAAGACACTTATTTGGGTTTGGATTCTGTCGAGGTGAAAGCCAAACAGCCCCAGCTATGAAAACACAGGTCCAGGAGCAGCAGCTCCTGGACAAAGATTAAACCAGCCATTTCCTTGGACAGCAGCTCTAGGGATAGAAAGTCACAGCGTTCAAAAGCAAATTATTAATTGTGAGGTGTATTAAAAGCAGGTGGAGCCAGAACAAGGAGGAAGAAAACACCTCCTGGAAGGTGTTGTCCTAAATTCCTGCACTTCAGAGCCATGTCACCACTTTTGCTTCAGCCACAGCCTTGCAGTTGTCCTGAGGAGCAGGATAGTTTGTTTTCACACATGGTGGCACCACAGCTCCTGTGTGAGGCTGATTGTTTCCTTTTGGGCAGGCGAGTGGTGTGGGCACTGCACTCCAGGGAATGAAGGCTGAGGAACAGGGGAAAAAAATCACTGTTTTCCTCCTTGTGCTGTGCCTGCCTTCCCTGGGACACAGCTCTCCCTCCAGCAGAGCTCCTCTGAGAAAACATCTCCTTTCACAGCCAGCCTGCTCTGTTCTTCCTCAGGCTATTCCCTACAGCAGTCAGGGCGTGTTAGAAAAGTCACTGAAACTACCCCTGTGCTCATGGTTTGTACTGAATATAAAAGGGAACTGTGGCACCAGAGGGTCCAAGGCACTGTCTGAGCTGCTGGAAGGTGCTCACCTTCCCAAAGCAGCTGGTGGGATGATGTGGGGGTTGTTTGTGTGGGTTTTGGGGTGGTAATGCTTTTTTTTTGTGGTGTAAAGACTAAGGATGTCATTCCTCTAGAGTGAAGAAATAAATCAATCTTGCGCTTCTGCTTTGGCCATGGGCGACGTGCTGCTGGATTTGTGGCTTTGTGTGGTGTCCTCCACCCAAAACTGTTCCACTTTTTGAGCTCTTCACATCTTTCCCTTCAGGCCCAGGCTGTGGTACCCTCGGTGAACCTGCACTCACAGAATGCAAGGCTCTTGCAGTCCCCGGGTCTCCCCTCAGCCTCAGGAGCAGAAGCCTTTTCCTTCCCTCCATCCAGCTGCCAGGGAGAGGCAGCATTTATGGAGGAGGAAAGAGTTGAGACACCAAAGGTACGGCTTGAAATCACCCTGTTGTTGCTTTTTTGCTCATTAAGGCTAAAAAAGATTGTTGCCTTTTAAATTACTGCCTAAAAGCACAGCTAATGGTGTGCCTGCTTCCTTAAATTTGAAGTATTTAAGCATCAGACTTGTAGGTATTCCACATTCTTTTTCCACTTCTCTTCCATATAACTCTCCACAGCTGTGTCTTTTTTCATCCTTAATCTGCCTCTCGTGTTCTTTGCTTACATTCCAGTCTTACCACATTGTATTTGTAAAAGAAAAACCAACCTACAAAATGTGGGATTTTTTTTTCCCCCAATGTTCTTCTCAAATGTGTTTCAAGAGCCCTGAAGGCTCCTCATGTACAGCTTCTAATACAAAGGGGTAACTGCTGAGTGTCTAAATAACCTACTCAGCTACTCATCCCAAAATTCAGAATAAATGAGGACAGGAAGGTCCAATGGAACCTGAACCAGGAGCTTCTGTTGCCAGCAAAAGCAATTAAAATACCACGAACATAAAATCCATCTCTCTGTGCCAGTCTCGCAGTAAGCCAGCAATAAGTTACATTTCTGCTGATTTTTCCTGTGGAATGGTGAGTATCCAGCAGGACCTTCTGACTGTCAAGACCCATCAGAACATTCCTGGGGCTGGGAATTCCTGCAGAACCCTCAGTGGAGCTCCAGCTGGTGGGGTTTGTTCCCTGAGATCAGGCTGCAAGGAAGGCAGCAAAGAAGTGGAGTTAGCAGTCAGAAGGGGAAATGGCTTAAAATAATTACATTTATATGAAGTATGTTATTATTCTCATAAAACTGTTGTTGTTCTCTCTCATATCCCGTCCCGTTGTAACTTGAATTTCAGTGTATTTATTTTGCCTGGTGCCAGCTGAGGGGGGTGATTTCATGCTTGCCAGTTTGAAGCTTTTATTGCTCCCAGTTAGTTGCCACCACTGGGAACGTGGCCCTGGTTCTCAGCACTGTTTTAACCCACCCCTTGTGTGGTCTCTTACAGCTGGAAAGCAAAAAAGCAGCTCAAAGACATTTGGAAATTAGCATTTCAGACTTTTTTTTGCATCCCCCTTTGCTTTACAGATGCAGTTTGGCCAGAGTAGGTCAACAACTGGTGACTGCAGTGAGGTGTCAGATCACAAGTGACCTGGGAATATTCAGTGTTTTAGGTATTGTAGAACATGTCCCTCCAAAGAATTCCAAGCTCTGATCCCTGTGCCATGGTAAACTGCAGGGAGCCAACTGCCCATGTGGGATTGGTTCTCCCCTTCCTTTCCAGCACTTTGGCTGCCAGATCAGTCCAAGGCATTTGAATGGAAAAGTCACAAATGGAAAGTGAGGTGTGCAGGGAATTAAGCTCAGAGATTTAATCCAGCATGTTAAAGCAGAGGCAGCAGATCCAGGATTTTCCTGTGCAAGGATCATCATTTCACTGGTGCTCAAACCATCTAGAGCTGTTTCTTGATGCTGCTTTTAGATATTTCCCTACAGTGCTGCCCTATAACCTGCTTCAGGACCATTTGTTACCAACCACTGTTGATGCAGTGAAACTTCTTTTCCAAACACACCTGTTTTCAAAATGCCTGAGAAATTGGAAGGAAATTCAGGAATGGCTCATCTACAGTTTTCCACAGAAATCACCTGAGGCAGTGCCAGGTTTTATGCCAAAGGAATGTGTTGTCCTGTAAAACATGGATGAAACACTAATTACAGAACAAACTTACTGCCCAAAACTGCAGGACATGGCAGCTTCAAACCCAAATAGGTAAAGAATTAGTTAATGTACAGAAAGATTCCTGGCAAACTGACGTGGAGAATAAAACCAGAATTAAAATCCTAGGGATATTTTTGGTTGGAAAGGTGCCTCTAAAGGCCCCTCAAGTCCAACCTCCTGCTAAAGGCAGCTCTGACTTCAAAGCTGGAGGAGGTTGGTTAAAGCTTTATCAAGCTGAGTGGATCCAAGGAGGGGGATTCCAAACTTCTCTAGGCAACCTGTGCTTGCAGAGGAACAACATTAATCAAATGCACTTCTGCTGGAAAAGGGTGCATTTATGGAATTACTCCTGAGCACAGCCCTGCAGGATGGAATACAAGGCTGGATTTTCCCAGAGTGTTTATCTGAGCATGATAAACGAGCACAGGAGGTGTAGTAGGGGGGAAGCAAAAGTTATTGTACATTCCATAGATGTTTTATACTTGTGGCTAAGCTGGCAAAGTTTTGAGTAACTCAAAAAAAAACCAAAAACAAACAACCAAAAAACCTGAAACAAACGAACCCCCTAAACAAACAAATTAAACCCAAAACAAATGAAACACCCCAAACCCAACAACAAACAAACAGAGAACCCGAAAACAAAACCCCGAAACAAACCATCAGCCCTGGAGAACATAATATAGTGGAAATAAGAGGATTTAGACTTAGGGAGTTGAATATTAAGGGAACACCAGTGGTGATCCTACACGGGGGACATTGTTGAGGATCGTGCATGACAAACAAGCCTGACTTGACTCAGAACATCACAGAGAGGTTCACACATTTTAAACATCCCCCCTGCCTTCAGTCCACACCCCAGGCAGGGATTTCATGCCCTCTGTGCCCAAAACCAAGGTGTCCATGTCCTCCCTGTGCCACCCAGGTCAACGGCTGCCTGCTGGACCCCGTGCCCCCCGTGGTGATGAGGAAGGGATGCCAGTCCCTGCCCAGCAGCATGATGGAAACGTCCATTGATGAAGGGATAGAGACAGAAGGGGAGGCAGAGGATGACCCTGCCCAGGCATTTGCAGCCCTCCAAGCAGCTCGTGTTGGGAAGAGGCGTCACACCCTGGCAGAGGTCACCAACCAGCTGGTGATGGTGCCAGGCACAGGTACAGAGCTCAGCAAGGACATCTCAGGGCTCTGTCTGATGAGCTGGTGGTGAAAAACGTGGGGTTTTAAGGATGGCAGGTGTAAGATAACAAGTTTCATGGGTTTACTTGGCATTTGCTGGAAAGGCCAAAGGGAAGAACAGCAAAACACCCCAAAACCTGGAGAAGATAAAAAATGAAAGCAGCAAATACACAGCTGGCTGAGCTCATGGCAGCCTGGCAAACTGGCTTGTTTTTTTTCACTTAACGTCCCCAAATCATTCATCCCCTGAAGATGTGCTGCCAGAGGACGGTGGGGAAACAGAAACCTCTGGATTCCCAGGTATTCCAAAAGCCAGCAGGATGAATAAGCCTTGCAGGCTACAGCCTTGCCAGGATTATCTGTGGGGGGGGAACAAAACCAACCCTGAACACTCTCTAAACAAGCCAGTGAACATCTGCAGGGTGTCTGATTGCTGCAAAATCATGCAACCCCCAGCAGTAAATCCCTGTTCTGATACTGCAAGTGTTACACGACAATTACTTTGTGAAACTTGATTTTTTTTTTGACTGTTTCCTCTAAGATAGTCACTGTTGGCAGGAGTAGCTTTGTTAAATTATTGCTGCCCTTGCCTTTTATTCTGACTTTTGGTTTGTTGGGTTTTTTTCCACAGGGAAGGTGTATTCACTGGATGAGAACTCCTCCCTGGGCAGCATCGACTCTGAGTACGACATGGGATCCATCCAGAGGGACATCAAATTCCTGGGAGAGACCCCCTCCTTGAAGGAGATGGTGCTGAGCAACCAGCAGGCCCCTCGGGTGACCCCCCCTTTCATCGGGCTGAGACCTGCCAACCCAGCCATGCAGGCCCTGAGCTCCCAAAAAAGGGAGGCCCACAACCGCTCCCCCGTCAGCTTCCGAGAGGGACGGAGGGCCTCCGACACCTCCCTCACACAAGGTAATTACAGCTGCTCCCAGAAATTAATTGTAATTACACCTGGACAAGGTAGGGAATGTCCTCCACGCAGGGAAGCACCTCTGTGAGATTTGGTTGCTCCTCATCTCATGTTTTGGTGCTGAGCGGACACGAATTAAACTGATTTTCTGACCAGGGGTTTTTTTGCTCGGCTCTCCTTCCCCCAGGAATTGTAGCATTCAGGCAGCACCTCCAGAACCTGGCACGAACCAAAGGAATCCTGGAACTGAACAAAGTCCAGCTGCTCTATGAACAGATGGGGTCAGAAGAGGAACCTTCCCTGACATCAGCTGCCACCCAGCTGCAGGAGCTCATGAACAGCCCTGCACAGGTACTGAGAGCAGAAACCAGGCTCCACCTTTCAGGTGTTAATGCTTTGGGACAGAGCAGGAGAGGATGAGGTGTTCTGGAGACCTGAGAGGAGCTCACTGACAGATAAGTGTCCCTGTTCTGCTTTCCTGCAGACTGGAGAATGAGCCTTTGCCACCCTGGTGCTGTCAGTGAGTGGCCCTTTCAGCTTCCCAAAACCCAACATCTTCCTCCTGCTTTTAATCTGAAGGGTGTTGTAGGTTTAACAAAGCCCAGTAACACCTTTCCTTGGTGGAGCTGGTCTGGTATAATTGCAAGAAGTGCCAAAGCCTGATTTGCACAGTGAAATGTTAAATACATTCCCAGGGAGTCGTTTCAGGCAATCAGGAATGTGGTGACTGTGAAACCTCTGGGGGAGCTTTTCTGGGGGAATCCTCAAAGAAAAAGGGTTGAAGCCTTTTCTGGACGTAAAACCTGTTCCTCTTCTCTCTGCAGGAGGAACCATCCCAGCAGCAGCAGCAGCAGCAGGAGGCTTCCCCTGCTTTCCCTAATGGTGCACATCCCCCAGTGTTGTCCAGAAGGCAGAGCCTGGAAACACAGTACCTGAAACACAGGCTGCAGGTACCACCCCTGCCCTCCCCAGACTGACCCCAGCTGCTGGTCCTGCCCAGCACACCAGCTTAGTCAGGAAAATCAGTCTCAATCAGCAGAGAATGGCTGAACTGGAAATTATACTGTATTTTTCTTTTGTCAGACGCTGACCCTGATTATGCAAAGAGTGTATTACTGCTTTTTTCCTACTCTGCTAGTGTATAGTAACTACTAGGAATACATATTATTGGTTTAACACCCCATAAAGGTTGTGCATCAGCACCTGAGTAGCCATTTCTTAACCCCCCTTACAGTTCCACACCCCCCTTTATTTTAAACCCATTTTCACATTGCTTTAGTTTACAAAAACTTGATTTCCCCCTCCCAATTTTTCAGCTTGCAGCTTCTCTTTCACTTGGGAAGAAATCCTTCCACGGGTTTTTGTGCCACAATCTCTCATGCAAAAATACTGTCTAAGGGTTAGAAGCCAATAAAATCAGCACTTGTGCTGGGTTTAGATAGAGGCTCTGTTGGCAGCTGGATGTTGCTCTGCCATAAGGGCAGACAGTCTTTCTCTGGCTTTCTGGGCTAATGCATTAAATCAAATGCCATTAAAGCCAGCCCTGCTTGCCTTGCAGAAGCCCACTCTGCTCTCAAAAGCTCAGAACACTTGCCAGCTCTACTGCAAGGAACTGCCCCGGAGTCTGGAACAGCAGCTACAGGAGCACAGGTAAGAACCTTTCCAAGGATGCAGACAAGTCATTCCTGCCCTCAGGAGTAAGAAAAGAACTGGAACAATCTCGGTCCGTTTAGAAATCATTGGAAAGAGGAAAGCTTCACTTCAAAACTTGCAGTAAGGACACAGTCCTTCTTTTAAAAGGGAAGACAACAGTCCTGCCCTGTCTTTATGGATTTATGTGGCTAATAGAGAATACAATGGATAAAATACAATGCATCTCATTCTTGGCCAAGTGAATTAAACCAGGCACGGGGTTGACTTAATTACACAGGAAAAATTCAGTAGGTGATAGAGAAGGTGATCAAAAGGAGATCTTTGCAGGGGTGACAGCTCTGATGGGCTGGGAAAGGGAACGGGAGATTGTTCCGGGATTTTTCCTTGTTGCCCTTCCCTCCCCCAGGGATTTTTCCGTGTTGCCCTTCCCTCCCCGCTGGAGCAGTGTGAGTGCCCAGCCTGCAGGACTCGTGCAGGCCCCTCGGGGTTCCCAAAGGCAGGGCTGTAACTGCAGTTTTTGCCCCCCCCCTGCTCCAGGTTGCACCAGAAGCGGCTCTTCCTGCAGAAGCAGTCCCAGCTCCAGGCCTACTTCAACCAGATGCAGATCGCCGAGAGCTCCTACCCGAGGTCAGCCCAGCTGCCCCTGCCCTGCCAGGAGGAGCCCCAGCAGCCCCAGCAGCAGCAGCAGCCGGCCCAGTTCAGCCTGCAGCAGCCCCTGAGCCCCGTGCTGGAGCCCTCCCAGGAACAGATGCAATACGACCCCTTCCTCAGCCAGTACCAGAAGGTCCCGCTGGACCCGCTGCCCTCCCAGCTCAGCAGCTCCTCCAGGCTGTCCTCGCCCGTGCAGGTGCAGCAGCAGCCACCACAGCCCTTACAATATTCCTACCAGACTTGTGACTTGCCCGTGGTCCCCTCCTCCGAGCCAGACTACCCCGAGCAGTGCCAGTACCCCCTGGACCCGGCCCCCCAGAGCAGTGTAGCATTGCCTGACAGCCAGGGCAGCTCTGCCTCCCCCGAGCCCCAGCCCAGCTACGACCCCCTGACCCTGGCAGAGCTGCCTGGACTCTTTGATTGTGAAATGATGGAGACTGTGGACCCCCAGCACAGTGGCTACGTCCTGGTGAATTAGTGCCGCCGACGCGCGAGACGGGACGAGTGGGAGAGAAGCATGTGAATTTTTTGGTTTTTTTTTTTTGTTTTTTTTTGTTCCTACCCCAGAATTCGTGGTAATTTTTTTAAACCCTTGAATTAGCAGGGGAACTAAAAAAAAAAAATCCACCTGGCTGGAGAAAAAAAAAAAAAAAGAAAAAAAAAGGAAAAAGCCGAGGTGGCAAGAGGTGTTTGGCCACTGGCTCCTCTGGCAAGGAGCAGAGCCTAGAGGACAGGTAGTGCAGCTTCATCCCACAGAGTCTGCATAGGAGGCAAAAAAAGGTGAGTTTTAGAGGGAGGAAATAGCCCCTTCTAAAAAATTTGGGGAGTTGGTCAGCGTTCATCCAACATTCACTTGGAGGAAGGAGAGCGAGCGCGCACTGCATCATACTTCTTGGCAATAAAAGCAATAGTTTCCATTGAAATTCAGGGTAGATTTGGGTCTGCACTGATGGCAACGTGAGGTGGAAATAAGGGAAAGTCGCACTTTGGCATCCAGCTGCTGGTTAAGCTGCTGATCTGGAACTGCTCCGTGGTAAGTCCGAGATCACCGGGCGTCTCAGGCAGCCTCCGCTCCCTCCTGCAAGCAAACAGTGTTTCCCGAGTCTGCCAAGGAGCTCTTCTGCTACAGGAACCTGGATCTCTGCTCTGGGACACCTTGACTTTGTCAAAAGATACCTGGAACTCACACAGGGCACCACAGAGGTCCGTGGAGACCTCTGGGTGGGGATCAGAGTCCTGGCGGATAAAGGATTAACTGAGAGAGAGAGAGAAGGTGAGAAGGACCAGGAGAGAAAGCAAGAGCTGCAGCCAGGGGCATTCAAAAATCATAAAATCCACCTGGGTGGCTTTTGAAATCACCCCCTTTTTGCAGGCAGGCCTTGAGGAGGGCTCTGTCCTGGAGAAGTTCTGGTGGCTGGAAAGGATCCATCTGTCCTTCGGTTGCGTTTGGAAAAACAAGCCAACAAACTGTGTTTTGAAATTTGCAGTATGTGTTGCTGGTGGTTTATTGAGCTTTGTATATTTGGACAATTATTTAGGGTTTTAGAACTTAAGGGTAAAAACAATGAGCTAAAAAAAAAAAGAAAAAAAGCAAACAAAAAAAAACACCCCTGTGAAGTGATAGTGCTGTGCCTTTTTCAGTTCTTTATCAGCCTATATGCTTTTTTCTGAAGAAAGTAGACAAATACCCCATTTATATCCTTGCTGTGGCCAAAGTCCCTTCAGAGCACACGTTCCACCATGTGGGACATGTTTAACTTTCTCAGTGTTTTAATTGCTCGTGTATATAGAACGTTTGAAAGTATTACAGCAATATTTAGCATCAAACTGTTGATGTGTCGACCATTTCAAGGAAACACTCAACTCAACAAGCAGTTGTGTCTCCAGAGCTTTCAGTCACGAAATCCAAATCACAGGAGGATTGCTTGGGGATCTGCAGAAAGTTGGGATCTCCACTCTGGGGTTTGTCTCCAACCTTTAAGTATTGTGGCAGGACAGTGGGTGGACAGTTCAGCCCTTTTCTGAGCAAACATTAAGCACAATTGCAGCTTCACTAAAGCACAAAGGACGAGAGAAACTGTGCTGATCACACACAGAGAGAACAACCAGTGTTTGCTGGAAAGCTTGGTGAGCTAAAGGTCTTTGATACTGCAAATCCTGAGGATGCAGGGAGGTGGATAATCAGCATTCACAGCAATAAGACCACGTTTAAATGTGGAATAGAAGGACTTCAGTCACTGTATGAGAAGGAGGGAAGGGTTTAACAACTGACAGAAGGCACCTGGCCCCCTGTGTGCTACAGAGAGACAACTCCTGTTGCCTGCTCTGGTGCTGGTCCAGGTGTGCAGCTGGACTCAATCCTCAGCTTCTACCTCCGATCCCACGGGGATTCTCAAGGCAGCAGCAAAGCAGAGCTTAAAAAAACAGGGATCACATCCATACACTACTGCTGGGATGCAAGGTAAAGAGGGCTTAGAAAGCTCCACTTTCAATAGCTGAGGGGGAGGAGGTTTTTATGGTGTGGTTTCCCTTCCAAAGGGAACTTGTCCAACACAGTCAGTGTGACACCCCTGTGCCACTGGAGTGACTGCCGGGGAGGGAACCAGCCTGGAAAACCTGCAGCAGAGGCAGGAAAAGGGGAAACAGAGAGTCCTGTCCTTTCATTCCTCCTTCCCCACCCCACAGCATAACCAGCACGGGCTGGGGTTTCAGTGTCTGTCCCAGCACTGGAGGAACTGAGCAGTGAAAGCTGCCCCCAGGATCCCTCTGCTCCAGGAGCTGAGGCACTGCCAGAGCTGCAACCACCTCCTTCCCCATCCAGCTCCAGGATCCTGCACGTTTCAGGACTCAAAGGATGAAAATAATTCCGTTCTGGAGTCCTGCAGTTCGTTTATCAGGATGTGCCAACGAGTCTAAGCTCCTTTGAGCTTTGCAGTGCTGGGCAGGGGGAACCTACAGTATTTTTTAATGTAGTTTAGACTGGCTCTTCCCCCTCAGCCAAAAGCATATTTAACATTTCATGTCATTTCCTTTAAGCCAATTAGACTAAAAGGCTTCTAAAGCCTTCTCATACAGAGAGTATCCATTGGGCACCACTTCTTACTCCTTTGAAGTGGCTTTTTTTTGTTCAGATCTGTCCTGTCTAACATTAGAGAACTGTGTACACTACTGTTAGAGTAATTACTAGCTTTATTATCTTGTATTACAGACTCCTTTGAAGAGACTTTGGTGTGATGTATATGGGGTACAAATTTCATACGGAGAAAAGTGCAATATGTGTGTGTGTGGTATGTTCTTTAACGTATTTTTTTAAGGAGTTAGAGGGTTTAGTCTCTGCTTTGGGATAAATGCACTAGTTTTGTGAGCTCCAGTTTGGCAAGTTCATCCGTAGTATTTACATGCAACTGATCTGCTGGACTCTGTAAAGCAGTTACAGTGTATTAATACAAAAATAAAGAATATGTGCATTTCATTTTTAAATTTCTAGTGAGCTAAAGCAGCCCCTGCCGCTCTTGTCTTCATTTTAGTGAAGTTGTTTCCTCCGTGAGGCAACAAGCTACAGATGACAAAAAAAAGAAAATTAATGGATTTTCTAGACTAGTTTTCTTCCCATCATTCTGACATACTTGGGATGGTTGACAGCAATGACTTTGGCCAGCTATGAATGCAAAAAAGTGTTCGTGCCACGAGATCTTTACAGCATTTTAATTAATAGAAGATTCATTCAAAATTGCTTAAGATGAGCTCAAAAACCAGTGGTGCTGGGCCTCAGTGAGCTCAGCACTCCCAGCGCCTCTCCTGTGGCTGCTTCCCACACATCCCGCTCCTCTGCTGCCTCCTGGAGCTCCCAGCCCGGTCCTGGGCAGGGATCCAGGCACGGAGGGTGACGTGCCTGCATGTCCTGCTCGGCCAGGGACGTCAGCAAGGGAGCACAGGGTGACTCCAGCTGCTCAGGGACAGGGGCTGGCACCCCACAGCACCACAGACACGGCACAGGGATGGCAGGGCACTGCCCCACACACACAGCCTGGCACTGCCCCACACACACAGCCTGGCACTGCCCCCAGCCAGAGCCACCCAGACAAGGTCACACCTTCAGTGTGTTAGACCTCATCTAACCTTCCAAGCTGTCTGGAAGACACTCCCCCCCCTTCCCCTCCTGCCCCCCAAATGCAGAGGCTGAGCCACCCTGATGAGTGGGGGCAGGAGGAAGCCCTCCCCCTGCCCGGGGTGAGTTCTGACTCACAGACCGGGTCAGAGCCCGTAAATCCCTCCGGAGTTGCAGAGCACAGCATTTCCCTGCTGGGCCTGGGGCCAGCAGAGCTTTCCTTTTCAGTGGGATCTGGCTGACAGTGCTGGTTTAAGTCCCTGGCAGGGGGATTAAGCAGCGGGGCTGTCACAGGAACACAACAGGCACGAGGCAGGGGCCGAGCCCAGCGCGGGTCATGCAGGGGGTGAGGGCAGAGGGCACAGAGCCCTTGTGCTGAGCAGGCTGGGGCAGTCCCAGGGGAGCTCCAGAAATGTGTCTGGATTCAGTGCACAACATCCCTGTGGGTGGGAGCTCCAGCCCCTGCTCACCTTGCACCACGTCCCAAACACAGCCAGGATGAGCCTGGAAAAGCTGCATCGCCTTTGGTACAGGGCAAAGGGGAGGGGGAAGATCAGCTGAAGGAATGGTGGAAGAACTGGTGCATTAGAGAGTGGGAAAGGGTGAGCATCTGGGAGAGGAGGTAGCCCCAGACAGCAAATATTCCCATATCAGCTCAGAAGGACACAACCCCCCCAGCCACACGTGGTCCTGTGCACGTAGGAAGGAACAGGACAGGGACACATGGCCAAGAAAGCTCCAGCAGGGATACAGGAACAGCTGGCAGGCTCCACCAAATTCATGTTCATATCCAAAAAAACACCCCCAAGGACTCAGATAATTTATCCCCAAGGTGGACAGTGGGTGACCTCCTGAAAGGGTCTCAGAAGATGTTTCTGAGGGAGCTGACCCAAGAGAAGCTCTTGCTCATGGAGCTGCTGGAGCAGTTTCAGACATGCAAACTTGTCTGATGATGAGACGTGGTCTAAATACCCTTCCATGCAAACACAAAATTATGTGTAAAATCTGTAAAATTTGCGTGATTTTTTTTAATGAGGGAGTAGAACATCACTATTTGATCATTTGTAAGGGCTCACTATACACGAAATTGAGGAACATTCAAGACTGAATATAAAACCATAGCAGAAATTAATTCTCCCCTCTTCCCTTTCTCCCTCCACTGCTGGACAAAGGGAAAAACTGGAAAATGGGGCACAAATTCTCCAGCCCTGACCCTGATGGGAACACTGCCAAGCAGGTCACTGAGTGTAAAGAACTGCAAGTTAAGACAACAGAAGTGCTGTGGGGGTTTTTGCTGATTCAGGTTCTTTCCTGAAGGGAATGTTACATTGCACGTTTGGAGGGGGGGGGTCAGAAGGCAGGATTTCATCATTTTAAATATGATGAAAAGAACCCTCTAACTGGGTGACTCTCACAGCTGTGAATCACAAATTAACCCGGTTGGAAAAGACCTCTGAGATCATCCAGTCCAACCTTTGACCTAAACTGGGTCATTTCCTGAGTTAGGAATTAGATAGACAAACCCTCAAAGGAGTAAGAATCAGGAAAATGAATGGAGAAATAAGGCAAATGTTTCTGCCTCCTCTGCTTCAAGGATTTTAAGAGGTGACTGCAAAGCATCTGTAGCACTGCTAACACCTCAAGGCACAGAGAATAACACAATGCTACAAAGGCTTCCAAGGCTAAAGGAATAGACTCTGTGGACTAGACATGGGAATAATCTGATTTGCACAGGTTGTTCTGATTCCCAGTGGTCAAAAAATTAGCAGAACAAAAAGGAATTTTAACAGAGCGTGGACAAACAAAGAAACTAGGAAATTCTAGGTTAATTTGAGGGTAAAATCCCAAGATAGAGTAGAAACTGAAACCAGGGGAGAGACTGTCCAGCTCACAGTATCCTCTAATTTAAAGAAAAGAACCCTAATGAGAAATCACACCTACAGTTTCAGCAGCAGACAAGTTCTACCTGCCCATTTTTCCAGGGCTTTCCAGCAAGGATTCAACACAACATCCCTCCCAGGAAGGCTCCATTTTCCATGGAGCTGTCACTCAGCAAAGAGTTTAAAATATGGTGGTTTCAGAAGAGATCTCTCTGCTCAAAAAGGTACTTCAATGTGGTGATTTTCTGCAAGGAAAAATGCCATAATGTGGTTTTATGTAACAGTCCCTGCTGAACTGACTTATCAGCAAATAAAGGCTACAGTGTTTTGATAAGAATCCATGTGGTGTTGGTTTGCAGAATGGGAGCAAAACGACTCGCACACGGAAAGCTAATGGGAGGTTTGTTCCCAAAATACTCACAAATGGACATTTACTTAGCAGAGAATGCCATGCCAAGTTCTGCAAAGGTTAGGCACATTTTGGGAGTTCCTAAGCTCTCTGCAGCTCGTCTCCTGCAGGCTCTGAGCGTGGAGAGAGGCTGAGAGGGAGCAGCTCTGACGTCAATAGGGGAAATTATACCACGGGCTGCAATCACCTGGGTCTGCCTTGCCCTTTGCACTGAGCCTGCTGAGCACACGGGGCTGCCTGGGGAGCCCAGGGCTCTGTTTCCATGGAAAACGCTCCAGCAGATCAAGCCAAGGTTCTCCAGAACCCCCAGCCCCCAACAAAAGTGATTTATTATAAATACTGTATTATATATGTGCCATTTCCATGCATATCACATATATTCATGGGATATTCTGAGTTGGAAGGGACCCACAAAGATCACTGAGTCCAACTCTTGAGTGAACATTATATATAAAATATATAAACAAAAATAAATACCTTCGTGTCCAACTCAGGTGAATATGTACATATATAATATATAAACAAAAATAAATACCTTTGAGTCCAACTCAAG